CCCTGTCAGTTCCCTTTTATGTGAGTTTTTTGTTTTAACCTTAAGTTTTATATTCCAACCACTAGATGAGTTCTATAAACTGATATTTGTCTACAATATAGTGCCTTTAACTACATGTTCAATGCTCTCTACTCATTTTCCTTACATTGTGCAGCCGTAAGTTGCAATCACTGGTGGATTACGTGCTCTCACTGGGAAGGACTCTGGAGAAGAAGCATTCGCTAGGTGTGACACAAAGTGAAACTAGTGGACTTGCCCGTAGATTGAAGAAAATGTTGGTTGACTTGAACGAGTATGACAAGGCTAGGGACATAACTAGGACCTTCAATCTTAAGGAGGCATTATGAATTGTTAGAAGCCTGAAGAGATTTCGAGAGAGGCCCCCCCAAAAAAAAAGTCAAAGGTCACGGCTACATTTTTGAGCTATCCGTCTAGAGAGGCACTTTGAGCAAACACCAGGTGCAAATCTTGGACCTAAATTTCAAGGAGGCGCTTCTCTCCCCTGTGTTATCGGTGGACATACTATATATCAAGCAAAGGAACGAGCCGTTCAAGCAGGCCCTTTTATTTGATTGTTGCCCCATTGGTAGATGTGCTCTGTAGCATTAGTTCTACTGCGTTCTTATTCAATTTCGTCCCACTCATAAGGGAATTAGGATGTGAAATTTTTTAGAGAAGCGATCTGTGAATTTTTCGGGATAAATTTCAAGTAGTTATTTCGCTTCTGCTTTTACCCTGATGAGATTGCAAAATTCGACCAAAATTTTTAGGCTGAGAAAGAGACGACGTATTTTGCCTAAAATTGAATTATAGGGCTTCTTGATTACGACTTCATAACACCCACTTTGTAGGTAGTATTTCTGAATTTGCACCTAAATCCTAGTTGGTTCATCTGATCTACCAGTTTATGCAGAAAATTGAGATTGGTGGTGCATCATGTCTTGTCACGTCAGTTTATTTTAACCCTCACCATAAACATTTTAATAAGTAGGTGAGTGGCGGCTTTTAATTAGGATTGTTAATCACACCTGCTCTTCCAAAAACGCAAGCACTTTTTACTTCATCATACCTCAACCATAACTTTTTTACAACAAAAACCCATTTTCACGTGTATCTAGCAACCTAAATGAGGATTTTTGTATGTATGTATATATATTCCAATAATGTCACAATACGAATAGTAGGTTCTAATAATTTAGTTTTATATATACGTATTTCCAATACAATACGGATAGTAGGTTCTAATAGTTTATATCGTACTAATCTCCTTTCAGATTGTCTCCTTTGTTTGGGGTAATAATTGTGTCTTGTTCTTATATGTAAACAACACGACTTGGGGGGTTCTAAACTTAATTATCAAGATTCCAGTTTCACATGTCAGATTCGAATGCTGATTATTCGAGTAATTAAAATATTTATTACGAAAAAGATAGTGGATTAGGATTTGGATTTGTATGCTGATTGGTTGAGCACACTTGAAATTTCTATTAATTAAATAGGACTATCTCTCCATGCTGATTAAGGAGGTTTATCTTTCCATACTAATTGGTCAAGCTTCCGGTTTCAAATATGTTTAATCAGCTGCTTGATCATTTTGACAATAATTTTCACCAAATGCCACCTGCTGTGTTAATATTCTAGCAATTTCTATCTGTCCCACCTCTCCCTACATATCCAGATTCCCAGCTCATCAGCTGCAGACTGCAGACCTGCTGCCTTTCTTCTTCTTCTTCTTCTTTTTCTTCTTCTGCTCTCTTTCGTTTTCTTTATCCATTTTTCTTTCTTAACCCCTTACACTAGAACAAGTAAAGTCCATATTTTTCTATTAATTAAGTAGAGCGAGTGACATTTAAAATTTCAAGTTGCTCTGTACATTATCATGCATGGGATCGGGGGTTCTATTCATTCATGAACTTAAGACTTCGAATGTCAATGCTCCAATGCAACAAGCCAAATATGAACAGCTAATTCAAAGTATGGTCTGCACTCATCCCTATGAAGCTTGTAAGATCCGACAAGATCATGAATAAGCATTTGTGTTAGACCAGGACATATGACATGCATGTGTCTGCATATGGAGAAGATATATATATATTGCCCTATCACCGGTTCCGTTTGTATACAATTATATTTGTCTATCTCTATCGTCTTCTGACTGTTCACATGATAAAAGAGATAGAAACATTATTACACCTAAGAATCTCTCGGTTAGAACAAAACAAAAAGGTTAAAACAAAGAATGAGCATGTATAGATCGTAATGTGGATTGGTGCTTGCATATTGTTCTCATTGGACAAATAAATCTACAGTTTATCAGTTCAATAAAATTCATTCTTTTGCTTCTCATTCACGTCGTGTGTTTGGTCAATTCACCATGTTAGTTGGTGAGCTCCTTCTCCATACCTTTTGCTGATATAAAAAACCTGAACTCGAAAACCTAACAAGGTTGAATTGTCATGTAATATAAATGCCGCATAAGTGTCTAGCCGTTTTCTTATCTTGTTGGTCTTCCAACGAAAAATAAGCATGATAGTTATAATTTCATACCTAACAAGGTTCAACTGTAACTTTGACGCACCCGTGCGTGAAGATGTGTAGGTGCTGATGATCATATGACTGCATGCCCTTGGTTGTTGAAACTTGGAAGCTTCAAAAAAATTACTAATTAAATGATGGTGAATTTGTTTACCCCACAATGATGACTAATTAACCATTTAATCATTATGAAAAAAGAAAAGAAAAGCAGAGCTGAGACGTGGCAAAGGTGTGTGCTTTGTGCAGTACTAGTTTTGAGTTGTGTGCGTATTTAAATTAGGGGTTGTGCAAACCAATCAGACAGTTTTTTTTTCTATTTCCCAGGGGAAAAAATTACTTTTTTTGTTGGGGTCAGTGAAAACTTCTGTTGTTTCAGCTATTTTTCTATTGATTCTAGTAAATTAAATCTGTAAATAAGATTCCTCGAAGTTGACCCCAAAAAAAACAAACGATTTCCTAGACGAAATTAAAATGTAATGCAATCTCCTCAGACCCTGCTCTGTTTGGATAGTGAGAAAGCCCCACCTCTGTTGTTATCGTTTCACACGTTTGAAGAAAAGAAACCATTGTTGATAATGCGGCACTCAAATTGAAAGTGCAAATGTAAAATCACAAAAAGCTCAAAACTTTATACTCATTCAGTGCAAACTCAAAGCCCTGGCAGACTTGTAGATGAGCACAGAGCTAACTGCCAACTTCCATTTGTGGTTGTGGGGCCTCAAACAAAGACTGAAGAAAAATGGCTTCTTCGTTTTAGTTTTTGTATTTCATAATTTTTGTTTATTGATGGTTTGATAGTGACCCCTAACTCATGGCCCTTGTGGATTGTAAAATAAAAAGAAACAGAAACAGAAATTTAGGATCTAGTTAGATGATCGTCGTTGCCCATGTGATTATCAATCAAGTTTTTAAGTTACAAGATCAACGTGATGTTTAAACAATTTTTGTTGAATTAGTGAGGTCACTTGATAGTTAAGGCTCTATCTTTCGGATCAAGCCGTCGCGACGCGCATAATTAGCAGCATTCTGCTTGTATATGAAGGCATGGGGACTTTGAATTTGGTACGCAATTACTAAAAGTGTGGGGTTTATTAATTAAGTTTAAGCATCCTTCTTGTGCTGTTCAAACTCCTCCTCCCTAGTCTTTCTAGAATGCACAACACGTTACACGAACATGATCGAGAGGAACTCATTTTTGGACTGTGATAATACCAATAATATAAGGTTTCTTGATGTCAAAGCTCCAGTGAATTCGGACTTGGAAGTTAATGATCCAAGATTTGACAATGGACATAAAGCAAATCTTTTGGAATCCAACTGGGAATTGTTTTAACCTCATGAACAAACAGTGCCTAAATTAAAAGGATAAAGAAACAGAGTCAGTTTTATATAGCTCAGCTATCAGTCAACGCATGGGAACAGAGCAGTTAGCTACACTTCAAAACACTCGATCATGATCAGAGATATACACCACCAAAATTTATATTTTGAAGGGTAGATGAAATATAAATTAGGGCCAGCCATGCCTTTTTCCTTATAGGTTAAATAAAAACAAATTCAAATCACCCGTACACGAAAATATATGGTAGCTTATTATTCTCCTCTATATATACTTATATAGAATCACATATTTCACACACTTGCACACCCAAATCGTGTCAGGCTTTAATAAGCCAAATATCAATCAAAGGCCCTCCATTTTAAGTTACTTGGGAAAAAGACTTAAAATTTGAAAAGAAATAACAAAAGGGTCAAGGGCTATAGGAGCAGCCAGCAGCCAGCCATGACTGTGTCAACTTGTGTTTCTGCAGCCAAGAATGGCAGAATCCTCATTGTTGGTGCTACTGGTTTCATCGGGAGGTTTGTGGCTGAAGCTAGCCTTGATGCTGGCCAACCCACTTATGTTCTGGTCCGGCCAGGCCCTCTTGACCCTTCTAAGGCTGACATCATCAAAGCCCTCAAAGACAGAGGCGCTATAATCTTACAAGTATGTGTATGTGTGTGAATAAATATAGGTGTCTATGTTTTTCTCTGTTTTCGTTTTCTGGGGTCGAATTTTTCTTGTTGATTTTGTAACATGTGTTTGTAATTTTGAGAATTTTCAGGGGGTGATTTCTGATAAGGCACTGATGGAGAAACTGCTAAGAGAGCATGAGATTGAGGTGGTAATATCAGCCGTGGGTGGTGCAACAATATTGGACCAGATCACCCTGGTTGAGGCCATTCAAGCTGTTGGCACAATTAAGGTATATATATATATATATAGATATATACACATATATAATAAAACCTTAAAAAAGAATGTAACTAAATATGTCAATGTGTATTTCATTTTCTCATAGTAATGCAACAAAATTTGTGTTGCAGAGGTTTTTGCCGTCAGAGTTTGGGCACGATGTGGACAGGGCTGATCCGGTGGAACCAGGGCTCACCATGTATTTGGAGAAGCGTCAAGTCAGGCGGTGGGTTGAGAAATCTGGGGTGCCCTACACTTACATTTGCTGCAATTCCATTGCTTCTTGGCCCTACTTCGACAACAAGCATCCTTCTGAGGTTCTTCCACCGTTGGATCAGTTCCAAATCTATGGTGATGGCAGCGTTAAAGGTATGTATGATACACATATTATTGGGTTTCTTTTGTTGCTGCACCGATTCGTAAGCCTTATCATGTTTTGACTCATAAATAATATCGAAGAAGTCCCTTTTTAACCACCAAACACACGGTTATTTGAAGGGTTTGGAGAATACCCATTCTGGGTATTGTCCTCCAATTCTTTGCCAAAAATAGAGGGCTGAAAGCAAAAGCTAGCTAACGAAAAATCGTTTGTTAATAATATTCTGATGGGTAGATCAAGCACATGTGGCACTTTTGGTAATATTCTTAAAAAATTGTTTTTAATTTCAACCACTAAATTGAAAAGAGCTGGTTTTACCACTCATGTTTTGTTTACTTACACTTCCTTTTGTTTTTTAAAATATTTTTTAATCATTTTTGTTCTTTCTCTTTCCTATTTTACCCTACAATGAATTAAGGTTTTAATAAATGAAATTAAGAAAAGTTAACATTAAAAAA